CTCTGAGCCACAGCCGCCCCCCTGGAGACAAACTAGAGACATAATAAATCACACAGAGCAGAACACAAGAGAGAGCCTCCACCTCAGATATAAAGAATTTAGAAAGAAAAAAAGTCATTTTAATCATGAAGCAGCAAAACCAGGAAGTGTTGGGTTTTCATCAGTAGTGACTTAACATGACTCCTATACATTCAAGTGAGAAGTTTCTCCATTTGTCTGCATGGTATCGTTATTTCATTATAACCAATGAAGCTCCCCCTGCTGGCCATTACATAGAATGCAGGTTTAGACACTTGTGCATTTGCTTCACTTCACAAACCCCGAAGCTCTGTCCATTATATATACTGGCAATAGAACACACGCATGGAATTTGAGGGGGAGAGTTGTGACAGGTTGGCTGCCGCTGGCGAGACATCACCACAGCCCGCTTGGCAGCAGGTCAGGGGCACGCTTTGGCCCTATAACGCACAAGCTCGACACAACTTGGTGCGTTTAAACTAGAAATGGCGATGCAAATCAGCGTGGCATGGTAAGACTCATGCTAATGGAAAAAGCCCTGCAGAGTCTTGCACAAGGCTTCATTTTCAGCTATTTGATGTAAAGGTAACTTACTAACAGTAAGGCATTTTCATGAATGCAAGTGTTGTTCAAGTTAGTAGTGTGCAGTATACCAGCTCATTCTGACAATTTCAATAAAGTACTCTCATCAGACTGTACACATTTTGTCTGTCTAAACAAAAACACTGTAAGCTTAACTAGCAGAGTGTGCACACTTTTACTACACAAGATCCTCTGCGGGAAACCATTTCATAAGATACTGCATTGTGTCATCAACACTTTCGCTGTTCAAGACCAAAGTCTCAGGAAAGCTGCCACCTGCCTCTCTCTCCCTCCTCCTCGATTCATCCCAGAGCACTCATAGCTCAGCAGCTTAACCAGAGAGAACAAAGACAGGCACAGAGACACAGTCCCTGTATGCAGTTGTTCACTTTATGGACTGGAGACTTCAACCCTTCAATCAATAAACAGATGAGTGCACCTGTTCAGGCCAGGCAGGATGGATGGACCTGTCTTCCTACACTTTATCTACTTTCCATTCATCAGTGATAATTGCTCCCCCTGTCTGTCTTTCTCTCAACCTCAACCAGCCTCAACCTGGACTGATGCTCATGTTGATGTTGCAGCCTTTTCAAACTCTACAAAGTCAAGGAAAATGACTAAAATCTCCTCTGACAGCAGATCTACAGCCCCATAGCGCATCTTGTGGCCTACACTTTGGCAAATGAGACAAACTCTGAAAACTGTCTCCAGTAGGGAGACAAATAATGATCATTTGCACAATTATTTACTTCATTCAGGGACACTGACTGAAAGGAAATGACCAATTCTTTTGCAAATGGTTATCCAGTTAGATAAAGGCAGAAGCGTAATGTTTGTGGATTTTTTGAACACTTGTACATTACCACCAGTGAAGTCATGTTAAGCCCATTGGCACGGAGCTTAAGACCGTTTCAACAGTGTCATTCTCTACCCTCATCATTCATGGACGGGCCAAAGTAACTGCTAGTGTTCCGTTGACATGATTCATTTGGATCAAATCAATCTTAACAAAAGTGTTGGCTCTGCTAGCTAAGCTAGCTGAGCTATGTGCTTGAACTGCCACCATGAACATCCACATGTCCTTGCAAAGCCTACACAAGGTAACTGTTGACCGTGTCATAACATGAGTGAAGTTCACCCTGGATGGTGGTGTCTGCAGTCTTTTAAAAAACATTACTTCTATCATTTATCACAGAAATACATCTGCAGGAAAGTTGGTTTAGTGGAAGAAATTGGCCAAATGCAAACAGAGAAGAAGAAACCCCACAAGCCAACTGTAAGAGCGGGCGATGCTGTGTTCGACGAAGCAAGCAAAGCAGTGTGCTCATGGTGGACGCTGTAGAAGAAGACCCGCTCCCTCTGCAGATAAAAACCTCTCACTCTAATATAACGAAAACACGACCATTCTTATTCTCAGGTGATTATACGCTAATGAAAACATACTTAAGAATATTATATTCCATTTCTGACAATAGATCCTCCTAAATGTTACACCCTGGAGCTTTAACTATGAGCCTGTTCACACCTGGTAGTAACATGCATCGAGTGAGCACTTGTCATCAAATGTCACTCCCCGCTTGACATGCAAATAAATATACATCATTCATGTTTGGAAAGATGTAAAGCGTCGTTTTTAACCAGCGGCCCAACATACTGGGACAAACTGACACAATGGTTTTACACAAATAAGTAACTTCATGTAGAATGTTAGCTGAATTTACAACAAGGCCCAAATAATTAATACTTTGTTGTAGACAGCGTTTCAAAGTTTATAAAGTTAAACAACTCTCCAAACTGTGATTTCTTTCTTTGAGCACTTTTTGCCTTTAGACAGGGGATGACACACAGCAAAGGGCCATAGGTTGGGGTCAAAGCCATGACCGCTGCAGCCAGGAGCTCTAGGCTATGTGTAGCTCTACCAGGTGAGCCAGCAGAGATACTGTTACATGTTGAGTAAAAACATTAGGCTTTACGCAAGAGATATGTGGTCAAATGTGTCCCAGAACACCAAGCATCGTCTAAAACTGTCTGATTATTCATCATCATTTTGAAATGTTTAAATATATATCTGATAAATATATCATCTTTAGTTTGTACTGTTAATGTACTGTATCAATAATTGTTATTTTGTCACCAAGTAGTACTGTCAAACACATCTTTTCTAAATTGTATTTGTGTTTTTTATTTTTAATGTAGTTGGATTCCATCCGTATTTTCCTCTGTATGTATCCACAATAGCCAAAACACACATTTCAGCTAAATGTCCTAAAAAGGTCTGCAGTCATTTCCTTTTTCCTTTTTAATCATGGGCATACAATAGTTGCTTTTTCAAACCAAACATTCTTCAAAATAAGAATTTCAAAGATAATCTACTCTTTGCAACTGTCAGCTCAGTGTTCAGGTGTGGAGGGGATTTGTTAAGTCTGACACATTGACATGCAAACTAACTAGAAGGAATAAAAGATATCGCTTCTTGTTTCTTACCCAATATTTAAAACTTGGCAGGCTGCCACAGTGGGTCACATTATGACACGCCAAGGCCGACATCAAGGTTTGTAAAGCTGTCAAATGGACGTGGTGCTTCGAAATGGCATGATGCCCAACACTGAACATACACTCCTGTACAGAAAAGGGACATGCTGTAAAAATCTAAGATTGCATTTATGAACGCAGACCATTCAATAAATCACATGAAATGCTCTCAGTTCACTCAGGTATACATTGCAGTGGAATTCGGAACATACACTGGGTTTATTTGCATTTCCTCAAGCTCCTTGAAGACAGCTATTTGCTCATTTAACCAAGAGCCTTTCCATGTTCTCATCAATACTCCTCTTGATCTAAAAACACTGTGCATCCTTTCTCCATCAGGCACAATCCCTGCCCTCCAATGCTGGAAATGCTAGAAAACCCCCAGACACAATGGCACCTTCTTACGTCCAGGGAAACCTACAGCATTTCCAGCACTTACACACACCAAATCCTGGGTGTGTGTGGCCCGCTGCAGTCATGGCAGCGCTATAACAACAGCAGTTCGAGCCTCGGTATAACAGTTATGCACCAAACCGGCAAAATGATGGCTTTTACCCATAGATTCCAACAACCAATTTCCTGATCACGAGTCTCCAATATTGGATTGCAATTTTAATCGAATTTAGCCAGAGCAGTTTTGAATGGAATCGCTTACTAACGTCTCAAAGGCAGGCTTCATAGATCTAGCTGAGCCAGGTGACACGCAACCTCTAATTGATCCATTCACACGGCCCAACAGCGCTCGCTTTGACAGCTCAGTGGACACGATTGAGCAGGGCGAAGATGTGCCAGTCTCTTTAAATGCGGATAGAATGTCACGCCAAACTACATTCAAAATCTCACAATTTAGAATGGCGGCTGTGATAAGCAAATGGACATGTTCCAACACATTATTTAAACCCTTACTCGATTGATGGGGGTCCATATTGTAATTCGGCGTGCATATACACTCGTGCAGTTTAATTCCCGATAAGCACAACAGCCGTTCCCAGTCATATTACGTTCTGTGCATACAAGTGAAAGAGCCCACACTGGACAGTGGGTAATACTGAAGCCGGGGTGGGGACGCCTAGTGAAGACGATAATAGCGTTAAGTTACAGACCTGGATTGAGAAGCAAAATTAAACTACAACCTAAATCCCGGCGTTACTTAACTGAAGCCATCCTTTTACAGAAAGCTGGCTACGGCGAGTCCATAATGATGAAATGAAAGTAGGGTGGAGACAACTGACGTTAATGAGTCACAGCGGCAGCACGGTAATGGAAATTGTCAAACAGGATACAAAGAAAATGTATCACACATACGCATTACACCAAAAGCAAAGTGTAGTTTCTGCGATATATCGTGTGCCTGGCAAGGCTCGGTATACTGTATGAGCTTCTTTTCCATGTAACATTAGCTAGCCTTAAGCTACTCAGGTCTCCATTGGTTAACCCTGGCTAGCAGCAGGCTAACAACTCACCTCACCTGTGAGGGCTTTCACAGTGGTTCTGGGTCCAAGAACGGTGAATGGGAAGTGCCAGTCTTGGTCGTGTCATTTCTTCTTGGCATTGTAATCAACAGAGACAACTCGTTACACCCATTACTCTCCATTCGAGTTATTCAGCGGTGCCAGCAAGCTCTTGCTTTCGTGGCTAGCTATCCCAACGCCAGGCTAATTTCCAGATAACGTTAAACGGTTGGCTAGCTAGCCAGTCGCCGATACGTCTGACGTTATTTTACTACAAGCACTTAGCTTAACTAACTGTTAGCTAGGGTGGAAGCTGCTTGCTTTTTTTTTTTTACTTCTTTAAAATAGCTAATATATTTCTGCAGGCCGCTCTGCCAGTACGGAAGTTAAAAAGAAGAAATGAATGTAATTCCAAAACAATGATATAATCTTTTCATATATCCAGGATATTGGTGGCCAAGAGAATCCCAGAGGCCGACATATTTGTCAGTACTACAAAACTCTGATGCCAGGGTCCAACAGCAGGGCTGTCGCAATAAAATTAGCGCCGAGTGGACGACAGTGGTGTCAATCAAGCTGCAAGCGTATTGTATTGCTTCTCCATCCATGACCCCGCCTCCTTTACAGTGTACGTCACGATTGCACTAAATCGTGATTAAATTTATTCCCCAGCACGGCAAAACACTGTACGGGGCTTGTTGATTGTGTTGCAATGGATAATAAAGCCTTGGTAATATATTTTATTGTCACTAAGCATGGTTGGCACATAAGCTGTCTCTGACATGAGGTTTTAATCCTCTCATGTGACACACTGACACAGGAACGTATGTTTGTGTGTGTGTGTGTGTGTGTGTACCAGTGCACTATACTGTAAGTGCCTCTGTGCCCACATAATGAGAATAAACACACACACACGCTGGCTACACAAAGGGGAGATAGATTAAAATGACAGCAGGGGCTATGAGGATAAACCCACACAACCAAGCTTCTATTTAACACACACACACACACACACAGAGACAAACATACACACACACACACACACACAAACAATCTCCAAAATAATAACAAATCTACAATCCTGCCACCAGGAAATCATGGAATTGGATTGTGACTCACTGTGTGTGCACACGTGTGTGTGTGTGTGTGTGTTGAAGCCCCTTAGCAGTTGGCATGTGAGTCCATAAAGCTCTTAAACTAAAGGGGCAATCATGGCATAAAAAAACAAAACAATGGACGATTTTGTGATGACCTATTTCCCATGGGGGGGTCAAGCAAACAAAACTGTTTTCAAATATGTTTGTGCCTCCATATAAAGCAAGTACAGAGGCCTCAATGTTAAAGGACAGGTCTGTCTTAAAACAATACTCACCTTAAATATACACTCATACTTTCATACTATATCTTCTCTCAGATCTTTTATTTATATTTCCTGTAAAGCATCTTTGAGTATCTTAAAAAACAGAATTATTATTAGTCTCATTAATGTCATTAGGAGGACGGAAACAGTAACGCAGGTTGTGCCAAAAGTGCTGCAGGGCCTCTGGATGCTTCCTGCAACCCTCTCCTTCATCATGGCCTCACTGCAGCTCAGCGAATTCACAAAGGAAGTTCTGGCCATGTGCTCCATTTCTCTAACCATCATGAACCAGACCACAGTCTCTTCCTCCATCAGGAGAATTCTTATCCATCCTTGTCACCTCTTCAACATCATCCTAGTGTTATTTAAATGTTATATATACGAGATTTAGAACATTAATATAGCAGCAAACAACTGAATTAAGGATTTATTTAGAACAAACCAGAGTTGGTGATTGTTGAAACAGCTAAGAGACTAACAAAGATGGTTTTGGTGAGTTTTATTCTGTTTCTGTCCACTTTGAATGAAATTATGATGTTATGATGATGCAAGGTAAAATGACTTTTGTCAATGGAGTCTGGTGGGCTGTAGCACCCCTTTGCTTTTGTCTGAAAGGCTGGTGCTCTAGTGTGACATCTAGTGGCATGTAAATTTTGTATAATAGAACATAAAAGTGTAGGTCATTTGTATATATTGTCTTTCCTGTTGCTGGGTAATGTCACTCAACACAGTACTGAATGTGTATTTCTTCAGTTTCATATCAGAATGTGCATTATGATGAAAGTGAGGGCTTGGCAAATATATGTGAACAAGAACAGAAAGACAATATCATTCAATGTTTATAATGATTTTTATTTCTCCACAACAAATCAAAGCGGCATTTTAAATCAAGTCAGAAACCAAATAAATGTAACACAAAATATATTATGCTCTCAAGAGAAAAGGTATTTACATTTAAATTACATTCTCCCTGCTGATCCAATTTTTTAAAGATGTTAATGACAATGAAATAATAGCACACAGTAGGATACAATAAAAGCAGCACCTGTACATTGTAATGCAATCCGATACAATGGATAAACAATAAATAATACCTTTCTGAAGCCTATTATTTCCTATATGTTTTGTCAGAATAACTTAAGTATCAGTGTTATTGTGTTGGATTACATTATATTTTAAGGTGGCTGCTATCAGCTGAGCAATCAGGAGAATGTGCTTTCTTTATTTGTGCGTTTGGTGCCTTTAAACACTCAGCAGATTGAACTCTGCAAGGGTTAACCCAATGCACGTCCAAAGCATGCGGATCATGTCACACATACAAAAACACATTTTAGCTATTTTACGTACCATTATGTAATCACTGGACATATCTTACCATTAAACAGTTGTCACATTTTTTCTATTAACACTGTACAGATTTGCCTAAAAGCCATGTTGTGCTCTCAGCCTGCAGCCGTTCAAAGCAATACACAGTGATGTGCTGGCTCTGCATTCAGGTGTAACAGTAAAATAAAGCAGCCTTATTTGTTAGCAACTACAATATTTCTACAACACACTTCTTTTTTCTTATATGAAATCCTTTACTGTAACTCATACATTTTCCTAAGAGTCTAGATTTTATCAATTTATTGTTGCTCTGTGCCTGCACAGAATCTCAGAAAGGTTTTAAGAGAGGAGAGGAGAGGAGAGGAGAGGAGAGGAGGAAGAACTGTTGTTGCAGTAACCTCCCAGGCTAAAATAGGGATTGGAAAATTACATTTTGTCATTTGATACTGAGGTTACTTTTTGTAACATCAACTTCTCCTCCTTCTCACTTCTGTCCTAAGAAACACTGGCCTGAACAGAGCTGTGATTGGTTAAAATATCCCTAGACTGTGATTTCAATGAAACTATTTCAAGATCAAGAGCAGCAAAGAAGAACCACCCCCGGCAAGAACAACGACCTTACCAAATTGACCAAAAAACTTACCAAAAAACCAGGATGCACCTCTTTATTACTAAATAATATAAACTACAGTTGAGTGCTGGAAGCAAACTTTAAATTAGCTTGAAATAGTGTCAACTTAATAAGTGACATTTATATAGGTTATTTTAAGTGACACTAACTTAGTTTTGTAAGTTAGAGAAAAAAATTTTCACATTACAAATAAAAATGACAAAATTAAGTCATCGTCACTTAAAATGAGTAAAGCTCAATAGTGGCAATAATGTTTTTTCAACTTACAAAATTGAGTTAAATGAACTTATCTGGTTTCATATTATTTTTTATCTCATTCTCTTCATCAATCATAATAGTAAGTTAGATCTGTTTTCCACCTTTACAGAAGGAATTACACCAAACTAGTGCAAGTGCAACTCATAAACCTGACCTGAGCTCACATATTTCTGCATCTTCCCCATTTGTTTCAGTTACCAAAATGGACATTTAAAGTTTAACTCAAAAACAGTGAGCTACTTGGATAATCAGACACTATATAAGTGTTGCTTATGTTTCTACGGTGAACTGAATTCATACATTTGTCAACTAATGAGCACAACTCTTGCTCATGCGCTGTGATGTACGACGACCATCATGCCGGCATGGCGGCTAGTGCAATTGACAGTTCAGACGCAGTATATTGTGCACACGTCAGAACGTTACATTGGCAACAGATTTGAAACGACGCCTCGAGTTGAAGCATCTGACCAGTGGGAAATATCTGCGAGTGAATGATGATCACAAGAAATCATTAACAAAAGGTAAGACCACTGGCCAACAGCCGCAAAGTCCCTCCACCCAAACTGAACTAACAGCATTTTGTAAAGGAACTAGTTTGTGAAATATTCATGTGAACTAGTTCATTTTAATCTGTGTGAACTGAACTATGAGCTAGCGCTTGTGAAGTGTGAACTTGCACAACACTGGTGGTAATATCAGTTGTATATATTGACTCCTGCTAAAAAAACTTGAATGTCTGTTTTTGTACAGATAAAACGGCTACCAACAAATCAACATACAGACATCAAGTGTGTATCAATTCAACATTCAGCTATTCTGACTACTCCTTACCCACTAGGGTAATAATTTGCAATGCTACCTGCAGGTTATTATGTTGCTTGTTGCTTTCACTATAGTGTGCTGCATTTAGCAAGTAACTATTTCAAGAGTAAAAACTACCAAGTGAAACTGTTATAATATACTTTATAATAAAGTATATAGTATATAATATTTACTATGTCAAAATATGGAAGCACAGAGTGTTGCTAAAAAATTTTGGGCCCCTTTTTGTAACATCACAACTTAAAGTAGCCACTGTTCAACAAAGGTCCACAGGTGACATTGGATACTTGGAGAGTCAGTAAATTAGTGATTTCCATTACACAGAAAAATGCAGCCAACATCTAGTAACCAGAAGCTACAGGCCAGATAAGGCTATAGAGGCAAAACCCCTGAGTGTAATGGTGTGTTGATGCCCAAAAACAAGGAAATTTCTTTCGTGCAATGAGATTACGTACAGTTGTATGCGAAAGTCCATTGTGGCATGAGCAAAAGTTTTACACAAACTTTTACACATGCCACAATGTGTCTTTATTTTTGTTCAATTTATAAAATAAAACAAAACACTGCATGAATGTGTTTTCAAAAACAAATAAAAAAAAAAATCATCAAAGTGTGTTATTTGTCAAGGGGTGTCAAAGCAAAAACGTGAATAGAGGTAAATTTAAAAAATGTGCACGTATTGCAGGGCTTTTTCTGTGTTCAGAATCAGAATCAGAAATACTTTAATAATCCCCTGGGAAGTAATTTGTGTGGGGAAGACTGCTGAGAGCTGCTACTGGCCCACAGACAGCTTTGCAGAAGATAGCTGGGGGCAGATCTGGAGCTTCTGGAGGTATTTGCTTTGGGGTTTGATGTGAACACACCTTAAGTGTTTAGGTGCTGTTTTGGGGTTTGTTTTTCATGAAACTTGGCGGAGGGGTGTATAATGAGCAAAGGAAGCACCCATACAGTGTTGGAGTAGATCTGAATCACAGGGCGGATACACAAATGATTTTTCACTTTCCTATGGGAAAATTAACAAAATTCATTGCATATTTGTGAACCCGTCATATTGTGTGAATGGTGCACTGTTCCTAAACATACAACGACACAGCCACCTCAAACACCACTGTAGAAACAGCAGGTGTGTAAGAAATAAGCAACCAGGGATGTGAATTCTCCAGAGTAATCTGGAATTTTGGATTTTCAGAACTGCATGAACTTGTCACAAACTTTTTGAGAAAGTGAATGGTGTGCAGATTCATAGACTGGACTATGGGCCTTGGCAGAAGTCTGCGCTCTCTGAGTACCTTTGTAATTGTTTATGAATTCAACTTTCCATTTGTAAAAGGAAGAATGTGTATTTCTGTATTTGTTTCAAAAGCTACTCAATCTTGCTGATATAATTACTCTATTGGCCTGCATTTTTGCTGTTTACAGTGATGGATTTCTTAATGCAATCAAGTTTCAAGCCCATTCAACAATCTAAAAGTTATGCTTTGGAAAATGGCTGGAAATACTGTAGTAGAGCTACCGTATGTGGTTAATAGTAAACAGGATAAAACGTGCAGAAAGACTGGTATGGTCCTTGAATTTTTATGCTCCTTTGTTGCTGGAGGACTGGAGCCTTTCCCAGTATGCAGTTCACTGGTCCATCACATGTACACATATTCTCACTTATGGAAAATTTAGAATGGTTGTGGGGAAAACAAACCACCATGAACAGGAGAATAACATGTAAAACTCCACACAGGATGGAGCAGGGCTGAGATTCATGCCCACAACCTTTATGCTGTCGTGCCATTTTGAAGTGTTCACATGATGGAATTTAGTGAAAAGTCAAAGACTATTTTCCTAAAGTGAAGGGTTTGAACTTCCTGTTCTGATGCAAACCCTGCCCATATGTGACACTGGGCTATAATCTATGTGTTTTGTTTGTTTTAAATAAAAATTACATTTGTTCAGTGTTCAATCTCGTCTTGTTTTGTTTTTGCTAGTTGCTTTTGCTTTGTCAGAGTTTTCAACCCACTAAACGGTAATTACAAAAAACTGTGAGCTAAATTGATGGTTTTACTCTGATCAAACATTTTAAACAGGTTGTCCGTTTGGTGTGTATCCATTGGCTGCACGCCCATTGGCATAGCTCTTAGCCGTTCCACTATCCGATTGGGTTAGAGGTGCATTCTCTTTGTCTAATTGGCTGGCAGCCAGCCTATCATGCTCTGCTCTTTCCCTGATCAGGTTTCTACGGTGATAGAACAGATATCCCGGCAACAGGAAGCCAGCCAGGGAGAAGATGAGAAGGCCCAAATTGATCTGTCGTATGGAGAGATAAGTCAGTGCATGTGACAAACCTGTTATAAAACCTGTTATATGTATTTGCATTCTCCTGTCTTCTTTTTGTGTGTGCATGCGCTCCCTACCCAGTAAGGATCTCCACTGAGGTGTCCCAGCATCAGTATGAAGAGTGGCTGCTGGAGCAAGGCGAAGGCAGCACTGATCATTGACTGCATGCCTGTCAGTGTCCCAAAGTGGTTGGCTGGATATCTAGAGTGGGAGTGGAGATAGAAATAATTAACAATCACCAAAGAATGGCTTGTTCCAATCATTCGCTTAATTCTCAGTCAAAATATACTAAACCTAGCATTATAGGATGATCAAGTACCAATTCCAACCATCTGGAAGTTAGTGGAAACAGGGTCCTTACAGAGTACTAGGCCTGGAGTGGCTAATTGAAAGAAACAGGAAGATTCCCGGTGGGCTGGAGTGGGTGTTGGGCCGCAAGGGCCGATGACAGGACTGGGTCAGGTGAGTCCTGA